ATGCGTTGAAAATTGTAAAGTACTACTGGAATTACTAGAAGTACTTCTAGAAGGTTGGGTTATCCAAGCCGAAATTTGATGCTCGCGTACCAGCCAACCGATGTGGTAAATGAATTTATTCACCTGGGCAATTGTAGAAGTTTAGGTGGACTGGCTGGAGGCGATATTACGTCTTAGGTCGGGAAGACCAGAGCAGCTTTTACCAACATGCGACTACTTGGAACCAGTGTGTCTTTGGCTCATACTTTCAGGTTTAGGAGTTCCCTTACAGGCGCTTGAACACAAGGGGAACCCTAGACCTCTTGTGCTATGACGATGCTGTTCCAGAGGTAGAATTTTACAAATTCATCGGTGCCCTAAGCAGCAACAGCACCTTCATAACTCATTGAGATATATTGGGAGCCTCATTCCAGGTTGACCAATGGGCAGAGATCTGTCTGAATCTCCTGGTTGTGGATGGAATATGTTTGCTAGCTTGTTTCTTAAAAGTGTAAATAATATACTATCAATCATTCAGCCGTAACACCCTTCCGGTGCCTAGCTGCCATGCCCCCTCCCGAAGTAAGCTCTAGGACTGGGATACTGCCAGGTGCCCCAGCCTAGACAAGGTGGATCGAGATGCAGGTCGGGTTCGAACCACGGACCTTCTGTTTAGTAAATTTGCGCTCTAAGCACAGTCCTGGTGATCCTACGCCAACCACCGCTTTTGAGCCAAAGGCTTTGGTCGATGGCCTTAATTATCCTCCTGTCCAGGTCTGGGCGTATCGCCCACAAACAACTATGGACTGTACACTTACAAATAATCTCACGCTATATCGTGTGGTGCCACCAGCCAGGTCTTACTTGTTGCATACGGCAGGGCGGGCAAACGAAAACAGGCTACTTCTGGCGTCTTCTTCCTCTCTTTCACGTGTTCGCTCTATTCCCTTCACCCTTTTCTATCGGCATATCCATAGGACTGATATCCGTTCGCTGCTGAGTACTGCTAGCTGAAATATCTTCAGTTGACTCGTTCGCTACTACCACAGACACTTCGAAATCATCCCTCGAATCCCGATACTACGTTCACCAGGTACCCATCAGCGTTCACACTTTGACTTGCATTTACGCTGGACTCGTTTTCTATTGATATGTGCTGTCTGTCTGAAGTGAGAATTGAAACACTAAGTACGGTTGTTGAAATAACTTTCCCATAGGTTTCCGCCAGCTTCTGTTCGGGCTCTTCCGGTGGTGCAGAGGCTGCTTCGGCCGGTTCTTCTGGGATTGATATTGTTGTAGGTCACCGAGTTGATGGGGCTGTGGTTGAATAGTTGGCCGTTGAGAGTGGCCTCTGTTCGGTTCGTTTGACAACGTCTGTAAGAGCATCTCTAAACGTACCAATAATCAGCGCCTGTTCATCATACCTGCTTACGTCCCGCTACACTCAAAGACAGCTCTTACGACGCTTTGAACGTTTTGTTGCGGCGAGCGAAGAACCCAGATGTTGTGGTTTCCGGAGATATCAATGTGCAAGTAGGTAGACTTAGCGCCACTGAGGCTCAGCTGGGTGTTTTTTGAATTTGAATTGAAACACCCGCTGCAGTGTTTGACCACATACCGTTTCTGCGCATTACTGACTTCCGAAGCAACCGAAGCCACCTAGCCACATGGTGCACTCACGTGCGAACCAACCTCCAACACAGATCGGCCACATTACCTCTAGCTACAGATAGCGTAGGTTTCACTGACTGTCGCTCGTTCTGGAACATATATGTGGATTCGAATCACGTGCTTGTTCGTCGCTGCTTCTTGCTGGGCTTTTCAAGGTCGCGCAAATTGTGCATGCATCGCCCGACCACTAAGAAGCTCTTGGACCCCAATGTGAAGCAAGCCTACCAGAAGCGGACAACGCGTCTTCTAATGTTGACTTTTATTGGTGGGTACAGTCTGCATTCCCTCAGGCTGCTGGGCGCTCTGCTTTTGGAATGCTCCACCTACCAGAACGTGACACTGGATTTCGAGCAGCACGTTAACGTTGCTCAAAGCTAGGATATCTTACCTTTTAGTCGAGAGTAATGAGAATTCAAAGAGTGACACTGGAGGTTTTGGAACACTATGTTTCTTGAAAACTGAATTAGCTTTTACGGACAGACGAAGTTAAAGCACGAATTTCGAAGGCCAGTATTGCGTTTGCAAATTTGCGCCGCTTGTAGCTTCAAAAATGCATCTCATTAGGTCTCAAAGGAGGTGTGCGGGCTGTGTTGTACTGCTGTAAGACATGACCACTTCGGGCGGAGGATATGAGACATCTTCAGTTCTTTGACAATCGAAGTCTCAGAAGTATAGCTGGGATCGGCTGGAACCAGCGAATTCGAAATGAGGTGACCAGGATCTTATGTGAAGAAGAGGGCGATTCCCTCAACTAATGCATTCGACATTGTCAGTTAAGGTGGTTGGGTCATGTGTTATGCCTACCAAGTTACCGCCTCTCACCGCTCTGTTTTCTGTGCCTAATTTGGAGTGGCAAAAACCCAGAAGTGGGCGGAAATTGACATGGCAGAGGGGAATGAAAGGTGTTACGAAAACTTTGGGCGCTGTTCGTGGCATTCTCCATGCAATATGGGGTCCGTTCTCCCCGTGCTTGGCTGGAGTCACTTAATGATTTGAAGGCTAACCGATATTAATCTCGTTCGCGCTATCAGTTCCTGTCTGGATTGTCTGACTGAGTGTTGTAGGTATAGGCGCCTGGGATGTTCGTGATAGGCTAGTTATAGATCCCTATCCCTGTCCCGTTTCCTTCTTTCGAATGTAAGGCTTTATGAAAATGAACGGACATGATTGTATGGGATTGAAGCACCAGTGTTTTCATATGGTGTTGTTAGTGATGATGTTGTTGATGTTGACAATCTTTTATTCACTACCTAATCTTCTGTCCTATTTTGGAAGAACTCGTTTTCATCCGTGATTTTTCAGCGCCGGGGCTATCAGCGGTTTTGAGTTGAGCAGTTCACATAAGTGCTGAACACTGTCGATCCTGTTTTTAATCTTTGCATCAGATCAGGGATCCATGGTGGTCTGAACGCAATTCAGAATTGGAAGCCTCTGCGACCACTGGAAACGCTAAGAGGCCCTTCAACCTCACCGGTAATGGGCGGAAAGATGTTAGCGCAACTATATACAGAGTGGGTTGTACATCAGTTCACAACATGCGAAGACATAAGGCTCTGAGCGTAGCAATTCGAAGCCCGGTTTAACTGGCCGTCTCGAACCCTGCACTACCCATGGCATCCACCTTTGCTCCCTAAACTGTTGCACTCTATCTCTCTACAGAATCAGAGTTAGGAAGCTGGTTGCGAACCTTAATCAGCAAACTGTCAGGCCCAGATGACCTCAGCGCTTGTCAAAGGCTGCAGTGAGACGTCACTGCAAGAGTTAACCTTTGTTATCCTGGCATGGTGAAAAGACTATTTTATCCTGGAATAAGTCGTTTGTTGCCGCGATATTAAAAAAGGGACTCCGTGGTGACTGTTATAATCAAGGAGAGATTCACTGCTTTTAGCAGGTTAGGGAACTTCTACCGGAGATTTCGTCACGCAACTGAAGCCGGTTCATTCTGAAGAGCCGAAAAGCACTGTACATCTGTTTCATCCTCATCGGGAATCTAATAAAACTTCATGGATTTTCGAATCGGCAACCTTCCAGCTATTAGTTTGAACACTTAAGCCTATCGTGAAATGCCCACTGCTGATTATTGCCAACAAGGATGAGACGAATTTACAGCGCCTCCCGGCCTTTCAGCATAGGGTAGCTTCATTTACGGGACGAGGTTGCTATTGAAAATTCCCAAATCTTTTCACACTACCGATAGTTTGCAAGTAGCTTTGAGGAAGAACAATTCATATGATGAGTGGAATCTCTGTCTGAGAAGTGTTCACTCTTGGAGCTAGTCAGCACGTGACAACATGATATCGGTTCCGTGATCGAGGAATCAGTGGCGCTCTATCCTGCCCCAGTGCAAGTTAGTTACATTGTTGGTCGGTCGTTCGTGGCTGAACGGTCAAGTGTTCATACTACTGGCCTGAAGGTTGCGGTTTCGAGACCCCTGGAGTTTCGTGGGATTCCATCAACTGTCAATGGTGTGGCCCAGTCCTTGATTGACTACCATTCTGGAGTACAGAGCATAATTCAAATCACTCCCTTGTTTGGCACAGGCTTACATTAAATTCCCAGGTTAATCCCAGACGAACAAGACACTAGATGCTTTCCATTTCTCTGGTGCTTCATTCCTCTCCCTTCTGATACCCAGAAAGTAAACCGTGAATAAACTGGACTACTTTGGACGGCGTTTAGATTCATTACCGTAATGTTGTTTTCTACATTTTTGGACGCATGGATCTTTATAGAGGAAAGGGTGTGGGTAATGAGTACGAACATTAAGCGCTCTCTTGTTGAACAGGTTCATTGATGTTAGTAGGGTATGTTTAGGTTTTAGTTCTCTGGTTGAAGTGCTAAGGGTCGATGTTGGATTTTCAGGGCTACATGAGGGCGTGACCGTGTTGGAATGGGTGGAAATACTACTTGGGGCATATAAATTAAGGAAACTGGCCACTGCGCTGCGTGAGCAGGTTTTACTTACCGGTTGCGCAGTTCAAAGATAGGATTTGTTTGGGCTAACCATCCTTGAGCCGTTGACCCAAAAGTTCGACCCATAAGGCGGCCCTACCCGCAGCGTCCAGCTAAACAGTCTGATTCGCGAGACACTAGGTGTTGGAGCTTCCGTAGGAGACCCTGCTCAGAGCCAGTTGTCTGACTCACTTGGCCTTAGGGAGCTTGACTACCCCGAGAGCGCGTGGATTAAGGTATAGTTATCTGACTCCTAATGCGGAGGTACACAACAAATGTCTTTTGAGCGACTCCAAACTCTGCTTTTCAAAAGTACTAAATAATGCGACGGAAGTCGGGGTCAACCGTTGGGCGATCGAAGTGTGCATATTTTAGGGCCAACCTCCAAGTTACAACGTATGAGTAGTCTTCCGTCCATTTCTGTGTGCGTTATCACTACACCACTGGAGACTGACCACTACGTCAAGGTAAGAGTCACTGTCTCATTAACGCTACAGCTTATTTCATCTCGTTCCAAGTCCGAACATTCCCCTGCGAGAGCTACCAGATACCGGACTTTTGTGTTTTCTTGCCATGTCCAGTATACCTACTGTGTGTCCAGTTTTCAAATCCCATAGGAGTTTGTGTGCAAATGTTCATCTCGCAATATATAAGGCCATTCTTGAAAAGATGTTACCAATAGCCATCTGACGTATGGCGCATACCGAGAGACTGCTTCGTTTTGCTGACACTTTTACATGGCACACTGCCTTCAGTAATCTTTCTTCAGGAAAGCCGAATTTCGGACTTCAAACCTTAGCGACAACGAGTGATCAACTCTTGTAATCAGATAGCTTTAATAGAAACATTTCTAGAGGCTATCCTTTTTTATTACCAAGCTGCACTTCTTATCTGCCACTAGTTATTGTCAAAGCAAGCAACGGACCTCGTTACGTGGTCGGGTGTCGACGGAGTCTCCAAACTAGCAAACTAAAGGCTGGTACCCGCGTGGCTCTGGATATGACAACCTTGACTATTATGCGCCAGCTCCCTCGAGAAGTTGATCCGTTGGTTCACAACATGTCTGCAGAAGATCCTGGGGATGTTTCTTATCATTCGGTTGGTGGTCTGGCTGAGCAGATTCGCGAACTCCGGGAGGTCATCGAACTCCCACTGATGAACCCAGAACTGTTCATCCGGGTCGGAATCACTCCCCCCAAGGGTTGTCTTCTGTACGGTCCCCCAGGCACCGGAAAAACTCTTCTAGCCAGAGCCGTCGCTTCTCAGCTGGATGCTAACTTCCTGAAGGTATGAATTCACATATTGGCATGTGTTTTTATCCTTTCACTAACGTTTGTTTTCGATCTCTGTTGCCAATTCACCAAGAAAAATTATTCCACAGTAGACTGAGCGAAGTTAGACCAACATGTACAACATGCAGTGGTCACACCTTAACGGATAGTGTGGCAAGCGATTGATTCTGAATAGCATCAAGTAAATTTGGGGTTCGATCCGGTCAAAACCTTCCGAATTGTGTTTTTGGCGGCTGCCCATTCCCTGCGTAAACACATACTTGTATTATCGGCATTTCTATTACGAGCAAGGTTCTTCTTATTAGACTTCCTGGATAAGAGAAATCCATCTACCAAGACTACCGACAATGTCTCTTTCTTCCTTTGAAGATATGCTATTGCAGTTACCAGTCACACTAGCTACTCAGTCTCTTCGAATGACTTTTTTGTCTACGTCCATGCGTAGGAAGATTTTTGCTTAGTGATGAACAGCTGCTCAACTTTCTAGTTCCGATACTTTATACGTGGACTGGCACCTTACGTGGATTTCAAAGTTTATTGACCGGCTAGTCAACTACCAGTGTATTGTACAATTCTTGACATCTACTCACCGTTACCGGTTGCTGATGGACTCATCCGTTAGACCACGTAAAGAAGCTTGACATGGCGTTGGGCATATTCTAGCAGTCGAATGTGGGACGCGCAATGAAGAGACCGACCTCTTAGCTTGTTATCATCCAACAGAGCCTATTCGGCTTTGTCTTTTATTTTGCCGTGTAGTGTGAAGGGTCAGCTTGTGGACTACGTTGATCCCAAGTCGATTCTGCATTCACACTTCGAAACGAATACCGTCTTTCGGTCACCAAAGGTTTGTCACACTTTTTCAAAGCATAGTACACAGTCTTGATTGTTGTCCGGCCTCTTCAACGTTCGTGGCTGGGGTTGTTCATTTATTTAAATTAACACGTAACATGCCATTTTCATGTTTTATCTACTCCATCTCATGCGCCTCCTAGGTCGTTTCGAGTAGCATCGTAGACAAGTATATCGGAGAATCGGCCCGTCTAATCCGTGAAATGTTCAACTACGCTAGGGATCACCAACCGTGTATAATCTTTATGGACGAAATTGACGCGATTGGTGGTCGTCGTTTCTCCGAGGGGACCAGCGCAGATCGGGAAATTCAACGAACGCTGATGGAACTGTTGAACCAGATGGATGGCTTTGACGCTTTGGGTCAGGTGGGTTTATTACTTTTCGGTTGTGTATTGGTAATTGTCTCCGACGTGGCTGCTGCTAACACCTCATGGGGCCGCAAAAGAATTCTAATTTTAACTAACTCACTTATTACCCATCCTTTTGCCCCTCGCTAGTCCTGTTGCCAGCCTGTCTTCGTCAGTCGATGAGCTAAAATGAGTCATATCTTCGTGCTCTCTGTATTTGTGTATCGGGCTTCTTTCCTAACAAGCCTGACATTCGTCAACACACTTTCATGTACCGGCTGTGGACGGTAGCACGAACGGTTTTCGAGTCTTTGAACTGAAAAGTACGGCTTTATTAGTTCCTATATAATCTATCGACCGTTCATATCACTTTGGGTAAAGTAGCTGTGCCTTGATCGATCTCCGAATATCGTGATTTTAGAAAGCGAAAGTTGGGATGCATATGGGCATTTGTTCGCAGGTCGTCAGTTAATCCTTTTTAGCGAGTAAATGGCGGAGCAGTACTCGCAAAGTTCAACAGGTCGTGTCATGTGGGCGGTTGACCTAGTTTGTCACACCGTTACTGTGGCTCTTCAAGCCAATCCTGGTTAATCGTTTTTTTTTTTTCGATTTTATCGTGGGTTATTTTTGTCGGAGTATTCGTTTGTTTCATCTGCACTGTTCTGCTGTCTCTTGAATTACTTGTGTGGTACATTTGTTGCCCTTAAGATATTTTCAACGTGTCGAATTGAATAGCTTCTACAACTTCCATGTCCGCAGGTGAAAATGATCATGGCCACAAATCGTCCTGATACCCTAGATCCTGCTTTACTTCGTCCTGGACGTTTGGATAGGAAAATTGGTGAGTGATTTATGATCGCACCATACTTAACCGTGTTTGTTGGATGTGTATTCATTCGGAAATTTGAAGTGCTACACTCTGTTGAGCTGTCTAACCTACCGTGATGTATCGGGTGCGATTGTATGTTGAATCGGGTTATTCGTACGTGAGGTTACTTGCTCAAGCATCGTGTCGGAATTTCATGTGAACGTACGACACAGTATCCACAACACTTGCAAGAATTGAGAAGGCAGCTAATCACAGCGGGGGCGCGCCTCAACCATTCAAAGGACTGGATAAGGAGAGTCCGCTGGGACCATATTCCCTTCTTTCCTGGTCCAGTAATGTGGATAAATCGAAGTTTGTCCTCTACTGTAAGTGGTCGTTGATTTCCGCGTCTGTTCACTCTTGAAAGTAATTTCCGAACGGCGAGTGAAGTACACCATACTTTCACCTATACTAACCAACGAGTGCGATCCCAATATGACGGCTTCTGTCGAGCATCCAGTACTTGGCTATTGGATATCACGCGTGCTAATGTCTGGTTTTCGCATTTATCGCCTTTTCGAGTGTGATAGTACACTGCCATTTGATTGTTCCGATCGAAGGTGCTCGCCTAAAACCAGCTACTGAGTGTCCAGCTGGTGGATGAAAAGCAAACAACCAATCTATGCCAACGAAGAGCTGATTTCGTCGAGGATGGTGATAATGATGCTGACGGGTACACCTACCTGTTTCACTGAGCGGCCGCTACTCAGCTCATCCATCGCCAACAGATCTTGCCACCAGAAGTATGCACCAGTAAGTAGATTTCTGGTTTTTGCACCACTTATTCTCTGGAGCGGCACGTCATTTAATTCTCGACGGTAGATGTGTTAGACTACAGTACGGGCTGTGTTGCTGTGAGACCCGACTACCGCAGATGGAGGGTCTGAGACATCTTCACATCTCAGGTCACCGATGATATCTTGGGAACATATCCAGAATTGACTGGTAGTGAGGTTACTGGGAAACGCGATTGGTGAGCCACCAGACACTTCACTATAGGAACGCACCCGGAATTCAAGCTACGATGACTCGGTCATCTGTTACGCATATTGAGTTATCGTCAGTCACGAAGAGCGTTGTCCCCCATTCCAAAAACAGACGAGCAGAATATGATCTAGCCCAAGGAAATTGAGGATGTTATGGAAGTGTTGGTGCTGCCGGTATTGGTTGTTTCCAGCAGTCATTTGGGCCACGTGGAGTTAAATGCTAAACCCCCAAAAACAAATCGTTCAAATAGAGATTTATCAACAAATGCGGTACCATGAATACAATAATAAAACAATGGAATCGTACAATTCTCAAATGGTTGGATTACGCCGGCTTGTATACACCGGTTCAGGAAGTGCTAATTCCAAACGGGATCCCAAAATTCACACCGGCTCAAGGCAACGTGGCTACAAGATAGCGAAACCCACGTGTTGATTTAAACAAGACGTACGATGACAAAGTCAAAGAGAGGTCAAAACAAGAAAGGCGTTGTAGGCACAAAACACAAACAACAAAATAGTAAATGACGTTGTATAAAATAAGAATAAAAGGAAAGGATCAACACCGCCCCCCAAAGCCAGCATGATTTTCCATAATCTGCCAATTCGATCCACCGCATGCAAGAATGGCATCAACGCGAATGGTACAATAGCTCTAGCTCAATCTGGAGCATGCACCTATTTAGCAACTAGGTGTCTTCTACTGCTATATCAGGCAGATGCGACGTATATTCTGTCTAACCTTACCTGAGACAGTCTTTACTAGCAATTCCCGAATATGTCCATCACTTACCGGCTTGGCCTCCACTATGATGCCTTTCTCCCAGTATCAGCGACTTGGATTTTGGCAGCTGAATAATACGAAGTCTGCAACTCGAAAATCTCGACGGCTTCGCGGAATGTACTCCTTCAACCATCGACATCAAAAGGTGTCAGCCAACACCTGTTCGTGTCCCCAATATCTGTCACGCATATTGGTCACATCACCTGCTAGACCAAGATATCCCCGTAATAAGAACAAGTGACTTGGGTCACTTGGGTCTACTGAGTCTGGATCATCGTAGACAGCTGCCGGTGGACGGTTATCTGAAATACGCCCGACATCAGTGAGGAAAGTAGACAAAGGTTCGTCAGTCAACGCTTGCTCGAGGGAGACCACATTCAACACTCGGTGAACAGGTTATATCTGACGCTCCCATAATCCTCCAAGGTGACTGCTTTAGGGTGGATTAAAGTGCCACTCGATCTCGTGGACTTAGGTTCTCTTGTTAACTGGGTCGCAATTTAGCAATTTCGGAAATTACCGGAGTTCTCGTTCGGCTTCAACAAAGTTAATTTCTTGGTCACTACGTCTCCTCTGGTGAACGGCGGTGGTTAAGAAAACGGGAAAGCGTCATAGGAAAGGAGTTAGTTGATAAAAGATGAACTACCTCGATGTGAAGTGCATGAGTCTTCAAACAGACATATACGTATCGCTTCCTCGACCGTCGTCCGCTGCGTATAAAAAAGGACCGAAATAATCCAAACCAGTCACGGCAAAATCGTGACCAGGTCCAACTCTTCAGGCTGGTGGCCATCATCTGTTTCGCTGGCTTCACCGACATACACCAACGCAGAAGCCCTTTAACTGCGGCTGCCACCTTGACAACCCAAAATTTCTTATGCATAACAGCTAGAAATGTGACGTGCCCATGTGTTCTTCCGAAGCATAATAGTAACTAGTCCAGCAGTGTCACATGATGTCTGCGGGATTGGGACAATCCACCATTTTGCAGCCTTCCTCCGACACACAGCCCTTCAAGAAGTACTGGAGAAACTCTACGTAGCGAATTAGCTGACTTCGAATTCCGGGCCTCATCGGGGCGTGATTCTCCGGTGAGGGAACTCTATACCTGCTGAAAGACGTGTCGGTGTCTCCGGTCTTTCAGGATGGGGCATACATGACCCCTATTGGCTTGACTGAAGCCACTAACCGACTTCAGTGGCTTTCGTACCACCGGTTTCTATCCGAATTGTCTGACTGAGATGTAAATATCTCGAATGTTTGGTAAAGTGACATTTGGGCCATCTGTTACATATGCATCTAATGTAGTATGTTTGTATGACACTGAGACAGCTTTTATGCGCTATGCCGTAATTGAGAAGACTGTGTGTACATCGACCAGTCCATTTGAGTCCAGGACGAGTTTGTGAGTTGTGGACAAATACGGTCAGGAATGTATGAATCGGGTTGCGTGCCATGCAGCAACGGTGTCGAACGCCTAGTTCCTAGAGGAGCACTTCCACTGGGGCCATGGAACGTCACTTTGGAACAGACGCTTGCTTTACCGAGAATCTTTCCATCAATTTTGAACTCCGCTCCATATTTCTTTCCAATGGTATCTCACTATGTGCACTTGTTCGCTTACCTCCCAGTTGCCGACCAATGTGAAGGAGTATAGGTAGTTTAGAGTAAAAAAAAACCGTTCAGCTGCAGCATCCTTTCTGTGCCTAGCTGCCATCCCACCCGAAGGTTGCACAAGGGCTGGGATACTGCCAGGGTGCCCAAGCCTAGACAGAGGAAGTCCAGAGGCAGAGGTCGGGTTCGAACCACGGACCTTCCGGTCAGTAAATCTAACCACTAGGCCATCTCGCTCCAGTATGGAGTTATGCATACATATATAGGGTACATCTGTTTACCGTGTACAGACGCTCGATTGTCCGCTCTTTTGTTCGTCTGACTTCCTACTGTTCTACATGGGGTTCACACTGTTTCCGTTTACTTCCCCAGAGATTCCACTTCCCAACGAACAGGCCCGAATGGACATAATGAAGATTCACTCCGCGCCGATAGCAAAACACGGCGAAATCGGTACGTCTCATATAAAGTTACCCTTCTGTTAACTGGTCAACTCCACGATCGAAGATAGTGTAATACTGTCCTCAAAGAACCGCCTTGAGGGATAATGAAATGACCCCCTGAACTAGGGTGTATGCTAGTGTACGGGCAGGATGAGGCCAATGATCGTGTCCAGCTTGTATCATGTAGATAACTAAAAACTATCGTTTTGCGAAATAAATGATTTCATGAAAGACAAATGTTGAGTGACAACTCCAGGAAGTTGTACTTTCGCGTGACAGCATAAGAATGGTAACTATTCAGAAGCCCGGCAATATTCGACCCTTTTCTCCAACCACGTTGTGTCGCACTCTAACAAATGTGATTCTCCACATCGTCGGGGTCTTGCTGTCTCACGGTTATCTACCGTTATTCTCACTAACTGCCGTTGTTGAGGCTCGCACCCCTTGTAGTTCACCATCTATGGTTAAGTCAGGAATTCCGTGTTTGAGGATGATTGCAGTGAGAAAGTAATGAGGAACTAGAATCGTTGCTCGTGTGATCCTAGGAGATCGTTTGGTTTGGGGGATGGCAATTGGGATGCCTTCTTTTGAGAGTGAAGGGCATTGTATGTCGAAGCTCGGTCACATTCCCCACACTTACACCTTCAGACGATATGCATTCGATGTCTTCTCCAAACGTGGGAACTCCGCGCAGTTTCCGCTGGTGTGCTAGCGTGGACAGTCCCCCGTGTATTTAACACCGGTGAATTCCTTCGCGGCTGTGCATGACACTCCTTCCAGACCACGGCCTTCTCTTCTGTTTGACCGACTTAATTCAACTGTTCCCAAATTATTATAGAAGGGAATGGTTATGCTAGTAATTTCGATTGAGTTGCGTAAAAAGGTGGAATTTTTTTAGAGCTGACGTATCCAATTAGCAAACCGGAGGTATCACACCGTCTCATATACCCTATTGCTTCTACGTCACGTGACCATAAAACCAGCACAATTTGCTTGCCCATTGCTGACTCGTTGCCCGTGTGGCCGTGAACGTAAGTCAATTCCACGCGCGATGGTACTCAAACCACCCAGAAACTTGTCAGGAATATTGCATTCCGCTTATATTATTATGGGTTGGAAATCTGATATCGTTCCACGTCGATCGGTACAACACCATCTGAATAGAGCAGAACATTTTGACATCTCTTCGTGTTAGGCGGAATTCTGCTCGGAAACTGCTCTAGCGCTTGCAGTTAGGTGCCAATACGGCCATGAAGCCAGTTCCGCACGTGATGGCCAGAATCTCGGGCTGCTCGTGGGTCCGGCATCAAGTGGAGCTTTTGTCGGCCGAAAGTGTGGACCCAACAGCCAATCCTGATTCAGTTTCCTGCGAATGGTAGTTGCTAATGCCTCATCCAGAAAGCGTCAGAATTTCCATAACGCCTCACCTAATGTACGACGCGCTGTACGTCGTATATTGGTTTTGGGCCTTGAAAAACTTTGTGTACCTTTGCTGGTTCTGTTGACGAGGACGCTAGGTGGGAACTGAGCTGAGGTATTACCGTTATTACACTTCTTTTGGCCTAAACCATCTATAAGGAACATACAAAATCGAATAAAACAGCAAGTAATTGTCAAACTAGTTAAAATCAATATTTACTATTGATGTTCGGGACTGCCATAGTTGCTGCGGGTTTAGTGAGTCACGTGAAGCCTATAAGCGATTGTCCGGCCAAGCTAGACTCAAAGCGCCTGTGTAAGTCCAGAATCCCAATATATATTTTGTAGTAGAAACTCGTAAATCCCTGGCATCATCACTTCCGACATACACTTTGAAAATCGCCCCTTTGTTCGGCCAATTGGACTGCCTTCACAGCAGCAAACAAATCGATAGACGCACATTAAGGTATTCTGTCTTACAGCTCTTGTTTGGGGTGGGATGGCCCAAGCGGCTAGAGCGCGAATTTACTGACCGGAAGGTCCGTGGTTCGCACCCAGCATCTGCCTCGCGACTTCCCTGCCTAGGCTTGGGCAGACTGGCAGTATCCCAGCCCTCGTGCCTCCTTCGTGTGGCATGGCAGTTAGGCACCGAAAGGGTGCTACAGCTGAACGATTTCTTGTTTGGTGACGCAATGGCTGATGCGAGCCATGTTCGAGCGCGTGGCGCAGAATGTCCTAGTTAGCGCCTTTTGTAATCTTCCAACTAGCATCGCACTTATCACGTCTCCTTTGAACCTGAAGGGGGAGGTAAAATTAGGTTTTGCCCCTTGTATAGCTTTCTTGGCAGGTCTCTATTTGGGTTGTTTCACCAGAAATTTTTCGGGTGGCCATTCTGTTGAAACACACTTTGAAATGTCCCCTTCCACCAGAGTGCTTTCCGAACGGATTTTTACTGCTCTGTCATATGAACAATGCACAAGATTCCGTTTGACCGTTACGAAGATGTGTGCACTTGTCCGTGCATGTCGTTCTTCTGTATGCACACTGTTGTATTGGCCCATCTTGTATTCTGGTCGGTAAGACTCCCAGAAAGGACAGTGATTATTTGTTCAGATTCTCGTGTAAAAGATACTTCTGGATGGGCCTTTTTGAAAATATCCAGCACGTGGGCAGAATCGACAGGATCATCACACAGGAGCCAGTCAACACGTTTGACTACGTGATGTGGATCCCGTGATTGAAGGATGAGCGGCGCTATATTCTGTCTAAGTGCGAGTCAATCACACTGCTTATCAGCCGCCCGTAGCCGAACGGTTAAGTGTTCAAACTGCTAGCCAGGAATTCGCGGGTTCGAGGCATTCCGGAGTTTCGTGAGATGCGCACTGCTGATGATTCTCAATAAGGATGAAACAGCTGTACAGTGCTTCTCGGCTTTTCAGCATAGATTGGCTTCAGTTACATGACGAAATCTCCACAAAAACAACTTATTTGCCAAAAGATTGTCAAGAGATTGTATTGTACAGGGGAAACTACGGAATCGTGGGATGATATCCTCCAACTAATTCAGTCGCTTAAAACAGCAAACTAAATGTTACGCTGGAGATAGTGCGCATAGCAATGCCTCGCGTCTATTGGTCAACAATCCTTCAAGAAACTTGTGGTACTTTGATTGACTGAATCTTGTGTCGACTTCGACTTCGTTCAACTCAGTCTTGTGTAGTGCGCATGGCAATGCCTCGCGTCCATTGGTCAACAATCCTTCAAAAAACTTGTGGCACTTTGATTGACTGAATCTTGTGACGACTTCGACTTCGTTCAACTCAGTCTTGTGTTTCGCCTCGATTACTAGCATTCAAACAACCCAGTGCTTCGTGTACGAAAGCACTTTGTAGAGACATTGAGACTCACTTGACCGGGCTTCACGCGACTCACTAAATTCGCACTAACTTTAGCAGCCCCGAACTTCAATAATCAATATTGATTTTAAGCAGTTTGACGTTTACTTTCTGTCTTTCGATTTCGTCTGTCTCATATACAAATAGTTTGAACCGGAGAAGAGATAGTTGGAGGTCAAAACTGTTACAATGGAGCTTTGTTCATCAAAACGCTTGTTTACGTAGCCGTCGCAACAAGTAGAACGGTTGGTCAGTTGTGCTGAGTAGATGAGAGTTGAGTTTTTGTGATAGGTTCGCATGCTTACCAGCCGTGCTTGCACTGTGTGAACATACCCTCAACTTATGCTATTATTCCTTTAGTAACGCTTGAACAAGAGGTCAATTCTGGAAGTTTGTTCCCCAAAGTTTATCCGCTAACAGTGCAGTCGTTTAAAAGCCAGGTGAATAACTGGGTATGCCACGTAACACTATAACGGAGGAGGTCGCCTTTGTTTGTTCTGGTGCTCATGTCTGCCTTATCTACTATCTAGTCGTAATTCCATTTTGGTTCTTTCAGATTGGGAGGCAGTGGTAAAGCTTTCTGACGGATTCAACGGTGCCGACTTGCGTAACGTTTGCACGGAAGCCGGTGAGTGCCTTTCATAACCGTTAGTAGTGTTTCATGACGTCGTATGATTTTACCTGCTAGTCGCAGGTATTCGCCAATACGTATGACTGGTTTATAGCTGTCAATGATGGTTGTGATGACAAATAGCATTGTTATCGCTTCTGACTCGCGCTTTTGTTGTATCTTGTTTTTGAAACGGACCCATCTGTGATTATTTCGAACAATGTTGCCACGTTTCCTGATAGTTTGCAATTTATTGCTTCTCTTTGGAACACAAAATAGGGGAAGCACTGTACGCAAGTATCTGAACGGGATTCCAGAACGCCTTTGGGTGAGAAATATACGCATCAGACCGCCACTGGGTTTAGTAAACTACGGCTTGTAAGAAACCAGTTCATATAATCCTGCTGTTCAGCGAGAAAATGAGCCTACAACCCTCAGCTACAACACCTCGTGGACCTATCCTGCTATCCTAAGTCACAACAATATGGACTTCGAGGATAATTTGTTTAAATTTTCTCCCTCATTCGGCCTCCGTTGTCAAGCTTCTCACGGTGGAAAAACTTCATAGTGACTTTCCCGCAGAATGAAACTTTCTCTGTCCCTTCCAGTCTTCTCCATTATAGTGCTTTATCTAAGTTCATGAATTAGAACAATCAAAACAAACAACAAACATGAAAGTAAGGCCCCAGTTTGAGCAAATCCGTATTGCTGTCACCGATGGTAATTGACTGAATGAGTCGCAAGTCTCACAGATGATGGGGTAGCAGTCTTGCGATCCACAAGTGGTGGTGACAATGATCCTCTTGGATGATCTGTGGTGCAACAAACCTGTGGGGTTCGGATTTAAAGGTGACAAAATGGATAATTCACTGCGTCCTGGTTGGCACTTATTCGGTGGGTGCCGAAGCACACTTACGAGCGTACCGACAATAGGCTAGATTGCAATCAGATAACATAACCGACCTTGACCTTGTTCGCAAACTACGCCGCTCTTATAACTCGATACCTCTTACAGACATGGAGAGCATTGCTCTAAAAATCTGAGGTCTATTGTTAAAAACTAACGAAACTTCTCAACTATTTGATGGAAACGGGTCACTAGCTAACCCATTCAGAATCATCTGCCGGGTCGTCAACAATCAATCGAAAGTAGCCATGGATTTGATTCTTAATGAGGCTGAATTGATCGCGTTCATTCTGGGGAGAACATCATTCTGTGCGCAAAAAACGACTAACTCGACAAGACTCAACTGATCTTCGATCGATCTATCAAGCAAAACAGTCACTTCGATCAGATGACCTGAACGCTGTTCTCATAATTGTCTGTACGTTAATTCGCTTTAGTTCAATCCTGCTGGTTATGCTGTTCTCTCAAATACAATGCCGAAAACTGCTAATCAGTGTGACCAGTCCTCGCACACTCACCTGATGAGCTCAGTCCATAATTTCGTGAGCCACCGTGTTCGTGGTATCTTCATCTCCACGTCATTTGTTTTGTGTAAATTATCCCTCACTCGCTTGACGCATTTTACGTTCCAGGTATGTTTGCCATTCGAGCTGAGCGTGATTACACTGTGGAGGAAGATTTCATGAAAGCCGTACGAAAAATCAGTGATGCGAAGAAACTAGAAACCAAACTAGACTACAAACCTGTGTGATTTCTCCATTGTGTATTATTTTCGTTCTTGCTTGATAACAACCACTTCACACAGTGACTTTTACCTGGGTTCTGAACGAATAGGTGGAATCTCACGTATTGCGCGAATGTTGTTCTGGTCTTGAAAGTTCCCGCTGTTTATCCACTGTTTGTGCTTGCTCGAAAAATCAAGAGCTCTTTCGAACCGTATAACCTTTTAGTTGGGCGAATTGATGGTTTGCCCAAGATGGCTCGAATTTACTGAATAGAAGGTTCGTGGTTCGGACCTGACTTCTGCCTCTCGACTTCCCCTGTCTAGGCTTGGGCAACCTGGCATTATCCCAGCCCTTGTGCTTCCTTCGGGTGGCATGGCAGCAAAAGGGTGTTACAGCCGAACGATGATCGTTTGCCCTACGTTGATGTTCGTTATAGCCCAGGTTCCGGTCCACAACAAGAGTCCTAAAGGAAATGCACTAGTGGAGCCAAGGTTTCCCGGGGATTACTGTACGCGATAGGGCTGATGCGGTTGTCCAACGCAGTAGTCTTTCGGCTTCACAAAATCCTACAGCTTAGTCATGTGCTGAGGAATAGTTACTTGGGGAACCGATCAGCATCGGTACATTGGTGTTCCAGTAGAAATGGCACTGTCGTGTTGTGAATAAGCTGATCAGCCGTTTGCGGGTCGTTTCTCTCTTCCATAGGATTTCGAAGTTGAAACAGAGACCGGAGGTTCATTTCCCGATTGCAAGTTTTTCAGCCTTCCCACAGCTCCTGAAGTGAAATTTGTATTTAGTGTGAAACTGGGATTAGGTAAATTCTCCACAGTGGATTTTCCTTGGAACTAGGTGCGGACCAGGGTTGTCTTGCAATCCGGGTAGGAACATTAACTGTTATCGAATTTCAGGGGGTCTTTGGTAACTGGAGCCCCCGAAGGGTGCTGCAGTCTCAGTATGCACTCACTTCAGTTTCCTCCACAAACCATTAGTGTAGTTTTCTTTCACATTAACACCACTGTGCACAATACAGCTTTGACTCGTACAGCATACATTGGAACCAATCCTGCTGTTAAAGTATGAGTTCTTGATTCCGGTTTAATACTAACCGGTTGATACAACCTCAACCCTCGTGTCCCACAAGAGTTACATAACTAGTATGTGCAGAAAGGAAGAGCATGGGAACGAAAAGCCGACTGTTGCTAGAGGTAGTGACTTGATTAGGTGTATGCAGACTGGTCAGTGGTGTTGAGTTGCCGATCGAACCAGCAACACCACTGGCACAAAAGAGACTTCTGATAACTAGCGAAATGGGTAATTCTGTTGAGTGAACAATCGGTGGATCGCCGTTTCCGATCTGTTTCGAAAGCTGATAGTTTCATTTTCGGTACACACCACCCGCTCAGATAACCGGAATCCTTGCGAGTCCCTCTTCCCGTCTCGGGCCGTTCCCATAGTATGCATTTCAAAATTCCACGATAATCTCTCTACGCACCCAAATGCGCCAGTTTACTTTTAGCATCCTCAACGCAACAGTAGCGAAATATATACCAAATTCGCTCACTGTATAATCGCGAACCTTCGTATTGAGAGCAGTCGAGACTAAGCCAACAGTTCTAATCAGATCCTGTTTTGACTTGGTTAGTCGCTACCTTGTGTACGCAGCGTGCCCATCTTTCTCCAACTATGCCACGTAGTGATGAAGGTGCTGGTGACCGCAGTGTGTTTCGACCACCGAGTGGTCTCTATCAAAGAGCAAAAGACTGGTTACAAAATTACTGATGTGACCGGCCAACATACTGTCGCGTGAGTGTCCTGCTGCTTGCATGTTTCATACCTGACCTTAGGACTGAGTTGTTTCAAGTTTGGTTTGTCTGGCTTGAGGCGTATTTGTTTGATGATGTGGACCAAACCAAATGGGAGATGACTAAACTAAATCAGATATGTTGACGAACGAAGACCACTTGATTCAGCACAGCTACGTGGTCTTCAATGTTCACGTTACTTGAAAATGCAATCCTGATGAGTGATCTTGTGCAATGCTTCTCTCTGTGTAACCAACCGAGTCAGAACAGAAGGACTTTGTTGAGGTGACTGTAGGTCTACTACTCCCGGTTTGGCAACTTGATTGCAAGTGTCTCGTCACCTTTGAAGACATCGGTAGTGCGCGCAAGTAGATGAATGGCATTATAATCTATCCAAGTGTTAGTTCATCACACTGCTGATCAGCCACTCGTGGCCGAACGTCCAAGTGTTCAAACTACTAGGATGCCCTGGGTTCGAAACTTCCTTGTGTTTCGTGGCGCACTGTTGATGATGGAACAGCTATACAGCGCTTCTCAGATTTTGGGCAGATTAGCTACACTTACGAGACGCAATTCCTATTGAAAAAGAGAACTGGTTGGAGAGTAACGTGGATGCAAGTAACACTGAATGCATCCTTCGATGCGAGGTCCTTGTTTTATTATCTAAGCCACTGTTTCGATTATTTTGTCACACAAGTTTGGTTGAACCCATGGTCAATGCCCGAGTTCACGCAACAGTTCGCACATATTTCGGGTTAGCACTTTTGTTGGGAACGTCAGTCTCTTTTGTGGCACTTTCTTCGAAGATACATTAAATGTGCTCAGATTGCAACGTTGCATATAGTATCCACACCATCCTCCGTACCGGTCACAGTTCGCGGCGGCCGTGAGACCTTCAAAAGTGATGCCCTGTTGGTTGGTCGTTGACTTCTGACGTCTTTGTGCCTTGAGTGACTATTTGTCAATTGCCATCTTTCGGTATAGCGGAATTTTGTGGTGAAGGCTCGTACCTCCCCACCCAATACAGGAAAGCCTTGAGTCAGGCTTCAGCAAGCCATCTATGCACGCTCTGAAGTTCAGAGAACATGCGAAAGCAAGAGTGACAGGATTCAGTGTAGTCAACTGCTGGGTAGAAAGGCCAAGTTTGTGCAGGCTGTCTCTGGGTTGTAACAGTGCCGTTGGTAGCGAATTTAGTCTCAGAAGCCTTCGGGTAAAGGCGGTCAGCCATATCCCGCCAATTTGACCGTGAACACCTAATCTTCACATTAGTATCTTAATCAAGTGTGACTGACTTGAACCACGTGACTGGATGGTCTCTCACCTAGTTCTGTAGCAAAACTTTTTTGTCCGACACACGTCCACGTACGCACTCTCCGATTTTCGAACCACCACAACAATATTTGCGGACAGTTTCGAAATGTCTAACGTGAAGTCTCCAGGATGTATCCAATTCTGTACGACCGCTTGTTTCACCACCGACTCCTTGGGAAAGACCGTTCATGGACTTTATCCGCTTGATTGGCGCATCATCAGGACGATCAAACCTGAAAAAACGCGGATATTGAGGGTCAGAGATCATTCGATGCGTTGGATGCCAACAGCGCGATGAAGCCTTAGCTTCACACCATCCGCTTGATTGCCGCGTCACCAGGACGATCAAACCTAAAAAAACGCGGATATTGAGTATCAGAGATCATTCGATGCGTTGGATGTCAACAGCGCGATGAAGCCTTAGCTTCACACGACCGTTCTTGAGACATTCTGTCTAATGGCCTCAGTTACGGTAGGAGTTTCACCAATCGTTGAAGAACTACTTCAAACGCCTTGCCAAGGCGACCGAATTTCAACTATTTTAATACTCGGAAGAAAATCTGTATCATATTCTTAACATGGCAGCCAAGAAGTGGAGTTTCGGATAACCGTCACCATCTGAATAATCCAAAAAACTCGCCTTCGAACGTTAATAGGATGCAGCGAGCGCACGGAGGCATTTTGAACCCTTAAGGGTTAGATTTTCCAACGCGCAACTCTCGAAATCGGGCTTAGTTGATGAGCTCGCTGGACAACAGACGTTCACTTGCTTCTTGTGTGGTTCTCCATAGAGACAATCAAGCCTTTGGCTCAAGAGACTGCTTCAAATGCTATCAATTCCCCAAGAGAAGTGACAGAATCGATGGTTTGTGATGAGGCCGATCGAGCACCACTTCAGGAGACAAGGTTTCCTCTATGTGTTGTTTGAATGTCCACGAGTCAAAGTCTTTTCATCCTGACGTTCGCATTGTGTGCTTTTGTACTTCGAGTATGGACGTGTCTCTTGACATGGAACTGGACGGCGTGTCTATTGTCGCAACACTCATTGACATCCTTTGCGAGCGGTATCTGTCCGACCTTTGTGTTAGCACTTCTGGGTAGTTCTTTTGGAGTTGTATTAAAAACATATTCCGCGGAGGAGTTCAAAGTGAGTGTCCGTGTTCATCAAACTCGGATTATGGTCATCGTGTACGCAACTTCCAGTACAAACCCTTGCTCGGCCGTAATGCCATGGTTGCCCCACACAATACACCTAACGTTGAATTCATATAATCGCAGCGGAACTTCACTCGATAGTCCCCAACCTAATTTACTTGAAGGCGGAATGAACAATACCGCCTAAACAGCACTGCATACAACTGAATATGCCTGACAAATCGGTAGCCACAAGCCAGCCACGGTCCATCCCATTAACGTGGCACGGTGTCACAGCTTCATATCAGTATCAGTCAATCAACTATCAGCTGCTGCTCCGCACCTTGCGACCCATTATCCGCTTCCACAGAAGGAAAGTGATACTACGTATCCTGCTTCACGCCTTAGTTTCGTTACCCGTTTGATAATCCAACTGCGTTGTCTATCGCACAACTGATCGATACGTCCGTCTCTCATGACATCGATATCCCTCCAATCATACGCCGCTGACTCGCAACGGGCACAACGCCACATTATGATTGGCTAATTCCTCCACGGCGTTCACTTGTCCTACAAACGGCAAAATGTACCTTCGTACCGATAGAACTAGCTAATCTCCTAACTGCACTACGCTCCTCAGGTAGGTTTTTACTTCCCGGTGAGATGTCATCTGTCCTACTTGCTCCTCTTACAGACGGTGTGACTTTATTCTGAGAGCTTCTGGGTGGCAATACAAAACCGGCTCATGGTTTGATGTTCAGCTTGTGATTGATTCATGCAGTTGTTTGTGGTAAATAAAAAATAAACTTTGACCGCGTATCATAATTCAGCCTTAAATGTAGGACGTTGAATCCGTGAAAGTAATATGCACACCAAAGGTTACTCAACCAACCAATTCAAGGGTGACGGGATCCGGAAAAACGGAGATTATTCGAAACGACAGGCGAATTTGCAACACCCCCGAACCGAAGATTCGTGTACTTTT